CTTTCATTTCCACTCATTCAGGAGTGCTCTGAAATCAGCCAGTTCCTAAGCAGCAGGCCTAAATATTGTGATTTAAGATTGGCAACTATGTTTGAAAGAAAGAGCAAGTTTCTTAACATGTCCTAAGAGATCAACTTTGCCTATCTGGGTGTTAGCTTCTAAATTCTTATTTTCTGCTTAACTTTTTTACTGTCTCCTTTGAATGGCACGTACTTGTGTGTAAAGTAGGCAAACAATGAAGGCAAACCAGGCAAACAATCAAGCAGAAAACAATGCCCTAACCAAGGAACTACCAAAGCTAGTAGGACAAGCTACTGTCTATAAATAGGAACCTCCCCATTGCATTATTACCTAGTTGAGTAATGAAACATCTGCAAGCAAACACAGGCACAGAGCCCATCAAGGACTACATAGTTTCAGCTCTGAACTGCATATATTCTTTTCTATTGCAAAAACCAACTAAAGAGTTGGTTAAAATTTGATAGTCCACTTTAGAGCTATCTAGGGGAGAGAAAGTTATTGTTCCATTTTTTCTACCTGAGATCTGTTACTCAGCCAGAAGAGGCTGCTTCATATTTCATCACTGTTCCAACCAACATCAGGTCCTGATATTCTCTCCCCGTGACTTTCCAAATGCTCAGCAACTGGGTCTCCTATCAGCACCTTACTTCTGGATGGCTTATCCATATTACCAAATACTAGCCATAAAGTCTGTTCTATGTAAGCAAGGCCTCTTTTAAGGAATAAAAGTGGGGTAATGGCAGGTAAATTCTGAAGCATATCTAAACTTACACTTTTTTAAAATTTACATATAATCCAAATTTTCTTCTACATTCTAAAAACATAATTAGAACTTATCAAAATATTGTGTTACTATGTAATAATTCAATTAGAAGTCATGTTGAACTTTCTAGAGTTGTCTATGGGCATATTGATCATCAATAAATGCAGTAGTCTGGCCAATTAGTATACATATTATATCTACAGATCCTGCATTGGGTGTCAATAGATTCCCAGTGCAATCTAAAATGCTGTTTTTAAACTATATATGATTGAATCCCTCTGTTAATGCAACTTAGGATTGCATTGGCTTTTTTTTGGCTGCTGCTGCACACTGCTGGCTCATATTTAATTGATTGTCCACTAAAACTCTAAGATCGCTCTCAAAGTTACTGTTATTAACCAGGTTTCGCCCAATCTATATGTGAATTGACCATTCCTAGGAGAAACTGCTGATGAGACCCCATCTTTATGAGGTAAAGGAGACTGAGGCAACAAATAGTTGTTTCTCAATTATGATATGGAAAAATCTTATCCTGGAACTAGCCTGTCCTCTTTCTGATTGCCTTCTATAATTTGATTAAGTTGTAGCTCTTCTGGAGAACATTTGGGGATTGATTTTTTTGCAGTCTATTATTATTATGTCTATTTTCTGTTGAACGATTGCTCCCTCCTTATTATTTTATTATACTATGACCATTGTATGGGATTTTTTCCTAAGCCACCATGATTTCCCCAGATAAGAAAGAGAGAGGGGGTGGGGGAGAAGAAAAAGAAGAAGAAAAAGAAAAAGAAGACATGTCTGGAATGGGTGGTTGAGTACTCAGGTGAGCCTTTTAGTCCCCAGGGCTTAAATGTAATGGTAGAATTAATGTTTTCCTGTCAGATACTTTCTATTACAGCTTAGAATTTGGATCTACAAACAGCAAGGGTTATACTTCCAAAGATTTATGCATGTATTCATTAACTGTATGAACTGAAGTTTTAAAGCCCTATATAGTAGACAGTAAGGCTATGATCTTGAACTGGCATATTTCCAGGCAGCCCCTAGGCAAAGGGAGCTGAAGCATTTTTTAAAATTGACAACAGCCAGATAACATTCAGAAGCAATCCAGACAGAGGCCTCCCTAATTCAATGAACTATAAGGAAGAGGGAAAGGGGGAGGGGAGGAATGGAGGAGGAATATCACAATTAGAATTGCAATATTTTGTTATTGTAGCCATTTAACACAGGTGGCTTGCCTTTTTATGGAATTGATTTCAGGTATGATCTGGGGAGCTGACATATATATATAGACAAATCTAGGGCCTTCATCCAGATACAAAGACCTCTGAACTAGCATATCATTATGAGTTATGGGGAGTCAAATAGTATTTGAAGCAGAGGAATAAGTGTTGCAAAGCTTTGCACAGATACAGGCAGTTAGAGACTTGTAAGCTCTAACCTTAACCATAACCCCAAATCTAATACATGTCAGCAGAACAAAAAACCCTCCCCTCTCTCATCCTAACTTATCTCATAGGGCTGTTGTGGAGAAAATAGGAGGAGGGAGTCCTTTGAGCTTTTGACCCAAAGAAGGACTGTATAAAACAAATAAATATGTATGTACATGCACGCAGTGAGGTTTTTTTAAAAAAACTTGGTTGTTTGTACTTAGCAAATGTATCATCATCATAGTCATTCATCTTTCCTACAGAGGAGAGGGTAGATTTTTATGGCAGAGGTTAGACTATTTATTACTACCGGTATCCAGCCGCATCATAAATGATGGTTTGGCAAACGATTAGGTAGATAATAGATACAATTTGCCTGAGCATCTCTCCCTGTTCCTTAAATCCACAATACTTGTAGACAGCCTTAATACTCTTCGATTACATCAGCTCCATGTAGATTTCTGGAAGAGCAGACTGCCAGTAAAATTTATATATTTTGTTCCATGGTATATATGTATTAATGATAATTATACCCATCAGTATATGAACCATACTGGACCTATTGGCCTGTTAAGGTAGATATAAAATACAATAGGTCTTTGACTTACAACTGGTTGTTTAGCAACCATTCAAAGTTACAACTGATTCCCCAAAAGATGGAACTCAGTTTTGAAATTCTGACTGCCACGCTGAGGTCATGTGACCACAGTTTGGATGCTTGGCTTGGCTGTTTGCAGCATCCCATAGTCACATGACTATGATTTTACAACTTTTTTTTTTTTTTACTGAAAACAGGTTTGTTTCCGGTTTGGGGCAAAAATGCCACATAGCGAATAATTGGTTCTCTTAGCGGCCATGGCATTCACCAAACGGCTGTGGAGTTTGCTTTATGACTTTTGTATTCTCTTAACAACTGCTGCAAAAAATCATCAATCAGGTCAGTCATATGATGACCTGCTATGTGACTGTCACAACTTACAACCTTGGCTTACCTGTAATTGACATCAGCCTAAAATGGAGCCATGCAAGTTCAAGTGCATATGCAAAAAGCTCCTTTTCCAAAGCAAGAACTCTGAATAATTTTTACTTCTGAGTTCACACATGTTTTAGAATGGCTCCACATGTTGCCGGTGGAGCTGTAGCTGAAGTATATGTCAGCACTGACACTTAGGCATCCATCATAGGTGCATTAAACTTGTGGTACCACAAGCTAATATGTTAAATGATAGTTATTGAGTGCAGAGTATCCATGTTCAAAAACAACCGATGTTCCACAGATGTAACTCCTTTTACATGCACAAGGCAATTGGTTCAATTGCAATTATAATCAAACTATTTACCCAACTAAAAACAGTGTAATTTTAAAATGTGGAGAATATATGTTTCATTTGTTCCTGCAGTGGTTCTGATTTCTAATTCCTTTTCCCACCACGTCTCTTCTAAAGAACCTCTTTTCTCTTTCTGTCTCATGCCAAGGCCTCTGGTAGTATTTCCTTTATCATCTGCCTGTATTCTCTTAGGGAGCTCTATCTCACAAACTTAAGAACTGTGACTGTGAAAATTGCAAAGGGCTTGTCTAATTCTTTCTAGAGATCAAGGAGAAAGCGTGAAGTGGAATAAAGTGTCTCATGGTTTGCAGCTGCTCCAGGTACATAAATAATGTGGGCAGAAAAAAACACTGGCAGTAGACAAACTTTTGGCATTCCCTTTTTTCCTGAAATCTTTTTGTCAGGCTCCATTCAAGCTTTATTTCTTCTTTCTACCCAAAACAGGGACCTTCACTCCAGCTTGTAGTGCAGCTTGCATCTGGATCCCTTTATAGGAAAGAGTATCTATGTTTATGCTTCTGAGATCAGAATAAGCCATTTTTATTTTTAAGAGGAGGAGCCCATCCCAAATAGAATCAAGCAGCTGAATTCCACTGATTTCAGTGGGAGAATCAAAGAAAGGCTTAAATGTGTATTTATGAAATGTACAGTATGTGCTACATGAAGGCTACATTTGACTAATTATGTTAAAAGAGTGCAGTTAAAAGAATACAGAAAGATAGGTCTTCTTGTTTCTGTCTATTTATACTGAAATGCTCGTTTGCTGAAAGCAGATGAAAACCTTTGGGTAAAAAGTTTGTGAGACTTAACCCTAAAAGGACAGAAACAATTTAGTTCAAATGCTTTCACCAATCTACTTTGTAAATCCCATGAATTGTGTGCCAATTCATGTAGATAGATAAGCTTTTATCATGATTTATTTGGCAGTATTTGTTTGATTCTTATTAGGATTCATTTCAAACTCCTTTAATCCAAAACCTTGGGTTTGAATTTTGTTATTTTGTGGATTGAGAGTCCCATTCTTAGAGAAACCTTCTAAAGTATCATCTACAGAGTGATGCTTATTGATACCATCTTCTAATTTCATGGTACTGATATTTGATGAGAAGAGTATCGTGTGACATATTCAGAATAACACTCCTTGATATGAGGAGCATTATGTTTTTAATAGTCATTATGGTAAAATTCTTGTTATCCAAGGAAATAATTTATTAGATTATTTTCACTGGTTTTGTTAGTGAAAATCATTCTTACTATTGCATGTTTCTATTTGTATGTTTTGCAATCTTCTTGAATGTATGATTTTTCCTAAACTGCAAAAAAATCATGTTCATTTAGAGCTACAATTCTCACCATCCACAGTTATTTTGGCCATGGTGATGGGAGTAATCCAAGTAATGTGGAAGTACCAGGTTGATAAAATTATCTTAAATTCTTTTTTGTGTGTATTTGCCTTCAAGCAGTGTTGACTCCTGGCAAACGCCTGGATAAATCCCCACAGTTTTCTTGGTAACAAATGGTTTGCCCTTGCCTCCTCCTTCAGATGGTTAAAGACAGTTTAAAACAATAAGTTGCTGCAGAAATATTAGAGAACAATAAGCATCTGTAAACAGGAATTTGCACATTTTTAAAAATCCAGAATACAAAGATATTAATGAAATACTTCCATGTATTGCAAGATAAACACCAAGTAAGTATTCCTGGGAAAGGAATAGGGTGCACAATCCTGAAATGTTCTTTGCCTGATTGCAAACATCTTCTATCTGTGGGTCATCTGGAAGACATATAATCTATAAGTAGGTTGGCACAAAGTGTTAACTTTAGAGTGTATTTTCTCAAACTAGGATCTTTGAGGTCAGTACAATTATCTTGAATTGAATTCAGAAAAAAACAATTACTATAAACCAACACACATTTCTTTGAACTTGATAATAAGTTTCCCATGCAATCTCAGCAACAAATCACATCTGCTGCTAACTGCTTGTTGTGTTGTTGATAGATATATTAATAACAACAAAAACAGCAGCAAACATAGACAGGTACACATACAAAGGGAGCTCCACATATACTACTCACTGCATGTAAATAGAAATAGAAAATGTAAATAGAAAGTCTTTAAATAATTTCTAATTGTGGCATATACTAATCAGCATCTGGAGCATCTGGACTCTGCCTGCCAAAAACTGTTTATGGATTAAATTAAAATAACCACAACCAGGACATAATCCAGGTCAACAGATAATTCAGTATATTGATTTATTAATCAAATGCCATAAGTGGCCACCTGATCTTTGACTTGAATTATAGTACAAAAATATGGGAGGAGCTTTCATCAGATGATTTCCAACATGTTATGAAAATCAAAAGTGTGTTTAAAATGAGACACTAATTCTTTGGTTTGAATTTTACCTTAGAAGCTGCAAATTATAGTTTTTGTTCAGTGTAGATATTCTTAATTAGTTTCTGTTCTTTAAAATGAATAATCTAAATAGTCATGCTTTTCAATTGACCGTTTGACTTTTAATGATAAACAGAAATAATTTGTTTGACCTTTCTCTTTGTTCTGCAACCTAATGCACAGCAGTCAGAAGCAATGATGAATGGCTCAGTAGTCTTTTCCCTGTTCTTCTTTTCAGTTGATCAGAAATAGCAGGCAGTGTTCCTGGGCCTGGGAGGGTTTTTTGGTCATAAATTCTTGTCATAAATATCCACTTTAAACTTAGTCCTTTTTGTTATCAAGAAACAGTTGATAATAAAAAGAATAAGAATAAAAAAGAAGATGAATGCATCATTGAACAAGAAATCTGAACAAAGTGTACGGGAAGTGAAACAAAACTGCAGTTCGTTCCTCTTGAGCTCAGATAGCATTTTTTTGCGAAGTGCAGGAGGAGAAAAACACCTAACTTGTTTAGAAGCTAAGCTTCCCTCTTGGTCTTCCAACCAGTTTTTCAGATACAAAATCCCACAGTCACAATGCCATGGATTCCTAGATAGATTGATGATCTTCAACACCTGAAGATGGTCAAATGCTCCTGCGGGTATTGTGGCTAGCTTATTGCCCTGGAGATACAACTCTTCTGTTTGACTTGGCAAAAGTGGAAGCACCATCATTCCCATGAAGCTACAGTTCAGTTTCAGTGGGCTGTTTCCTGGTGGAGAGCATGTACAGTGGTGTGGACAGTGGCTTGCAAAGGCAGCTTCAAGAAACAGAAGAATCAATAAGCCTTGACATGGGATCATTCTGAAAATTTAAACGAGGATAATCGTATCAAGAAATAAATTAGTGTAAGTTCATGAACATTTAGTTTTGCTCAACATTCTCCACAATAAACCTGCAAAATATGTTGAAATAACTCAGGGGTATCCAACCTTGGCAATGTTAAGGCTTGTGCATTTCAACTCCCAGAAATCTCCATCCAACATGGCTGGCTGGGGAATTGAAGTCCACAGGTCTTTTGGACACCTCTGATGTAAATTAATATCTCATGGTTACAGTATATTTGAATAGATGATTTAATATTTTAATATTTTGTGCTGCTTATCAAAGATCCCTCTTGCAGTTGAGGTTTACTTTAATATTATAGTTAAAAATATTTTCATATCAGACACAGAATGAATTTAGCTTTTGCAATATATGATAGTCTATATCTAAGTTGAATCTTCTCCTGACTTCCCCTTTCAAATAAGAAATCAATCATTTTATAAGCAGCCAGCAAGAAAGGAAAGTTAATTTTCATACAAACAATTTATTTCTCATTGTGTTAGACCATCTGTAAAGCATAAGATGAATGTTTTCCTTCAAAGGTAAGCACTGATATTTATGAAGGTTTATGCATAGAAATGTTTTTTTCAGTTCTGTATGTTCAGGTCTGAATCTTTTCAGTTCCTAAATGGAATTGTGGGCACAACCTATTTACAGAGAAATGCATTAGTATGCTCAGAATGCAACATTTTTTTACAGAATGAATTAAACATAGTCAGCCCTATGGGATATTGTTTTGAAATCATGGGAAAGTAGATTCTAGTGGATTTTGAAGTGGAAGATCTCATCTTTTTCATGGTATCCTAAAAATAAAAACCCCAAAGTTGAGGAAAGTTGGTCTGCTATGCCTATGTAAAATTTAAAGAGTTGTGATAGAGCATTTAGACTTATACACCTCTTTACAGTGCTTTCCAGCCCTCTCTAAGCAGTTTACAGAGTCAGCATCTTGCCCCCAACAATCTGGGTCCTCATTTTACCCACCATGGAAGGATGGAAGACTGATTCAACCTTGAGCCTGATGGGATTTGAACTGCCAAATTGCAGGTAGCCGATAGTCAGCAGAAGTAGCCTGCAGTACTGCACTCTAACCACTGCACCACCAAGGCTCAGTATATAGTATAACATCAACTTATTATAATGATTTCACTTGGACAGTCATAAAAGAGTGATCTGCCAGAGGGGGAGGAATTGACAGATTATTAAATTTAATTCACATCTGTGATCAGCAGGAATGTATTGGGTAATCATGAGAAAGCCATTATCTGAACCCTTTCCCTGTTATAGAATAAGAAGAAAGTAAGTGGACATTTATTATCTCAAGGGAGGAAGGATAGGAATACCACAACAGCACCTGGTTCCTACATCTCCTGCCTCTATTTGCAGATAGTCCTCGAATTATGAACACAATTGAGCTCAAAATTGCTGTTGCTAAGTGAGACACTTGTTAAATGAGTTTTGACCCATTTTACGACCTTTTTTGCCACAACTGTTAAGTGAATCATTGCAGTTGTTAAGCTAGTCACGCAGGTGTTCAGTGAATCTGGCTTCCCCACTGACTTTGCTTCTCAGAAGGTCGTAAAAAGGGAATCCCATGACCCCGGGAACCACCTTAAATATGAACTAAGGTTCTCAAGGTTCTGAATTTTGATCACATGATCAAAATTGCTGCAATGGCCATGTGACAAATGGTCATAAATCACTTTTCCAGTGCTGTTGTAACTTCAAACATTCAGTAAATGAACTGTTATAAGTCAAGCACTGCCTGCATGCTGGTGGCACTCTTTTTGAAAGGCTGAAAACATAGGTCAGTGGAATCATCTGCTTAGTCAAGGAGCAGATAAGTGGAGCTGAATACAGAGCAGAAAATAATCTAAAGCTGTTATCTCAGGCATTGCTCATTTCCAAGCTGGTTGGAAAGACCAAAACAATTCAGGCTCAAGCCATATAAACAAAAAACCTAACTAGGAAAAGTTTTCCTGCTCTTACCTAGAAGTGCTCTCAGGTCTGCTTTGATCACTGAGACCCTATTGATTGTTGTTTTCTTTGGGGGGCGGTGTTATTTATTTATTGACCTTTCTAGACATTCAGGATATTTATGGTTTTTCTTTCTGCTTTGATTCTCTTTTATAACATTAGCGGTGCAAAGTGTTCTGTCTCTAAATTTGATAAAACAAATAAAAGCAAATAACTTTGTGGCCCTTACGACTGGAGAGAAATGTATAGAATTCAAGGAACTTTAAAGAAATAGCTGAATATACCACCATGAGCTAAGTGAAGACAGCGGAGAGATGGGGGTGGGGCCCTGTTTTGGCCCTTCCCCTTTGCAGCTGCTGCTGTTTTGCATGTAGCTCCAAATTCGGCTGTATTCTCGAAACACGGCAAAATGCCTGTCCCTGATAGTAAGCAGCAAAATGTGAGGCGTGCAATTTTTCAAACAACCCGTACCAAAAACTTAATTATGCATCATAGGGTAAAAGCAAGTATTTAAAGCAATTAAAGCCATTCATGTAAAATTACTCTTTTATATCATTCATATATGTCCTGAAAATATAAAATATTTATTTTTAAAAATCTATTTTCATTTTAAAAAGTAGGTCCTCTGTATTTAAGTGAGGACCTTCCAAATTCAGTTGTTCCACATGTGAATCTGCTTTTCTGTTTCTCCATATAGCTTTCACTTAATGTTCTGTAGCCCCAAGTATGCTTAGTTCTCTTTTGGGGTTCCTCTCCTCTGTGGTTTTATTTTAGGGATTGGGGGTTCCAATTCTACAAATCCTTAGGTGCTCCCTATCTTGCTTTCACATATGGATAATAAGCAATAATCTGAACAATAGAAATGTTCATTATAGATTCTGCTATCTTATGATGGAAGACCACTTATTTTATTAAGTTAGCAGTAAAATAGAAACCATTTAAAAGATTTAGAAACCCTACAGTATAAAATGGAATAGTTTGGGAAAATAACAATAATTAATGTTGCAGTGCCTAGAGACAGCAGAAGAGAAGAGGAAGAACTGGAGAAAATTCCAAAATACAGAGACTTACAAATAGAATAGAATGACTATGACAAAAGAAAGCAAATATAGTACCAATAGTTATAGGCACCTTGGGACCAAAATAGCTGGAGCATCACTTTAACATCATTGGCATTGACAAAATCACCATTAGTCAATTGCAAAAGGCAGCTTACATTGGAATAGCTTACATTCTGCAATGATTCTTTTAACTCTATCAAGTGATATCTGCTTATACCATGTCCTTGGGAAATATTTGATAGATGGATAAAAATGCCAGATCCAGTCTAGACATCTGGCTGATTATTACCATCGGGGGCTTTTTTTTGCAGTGTCTTGCTTTTTTTCTCTTTTAGAAATATAAAAAGACATAATAAACAGTTTTGATACCAGAAAAAGAACTTACCTCAAGCCAAAGATACATGAGAACGTCTTCTGCACACATTTGTATTCTCTTAATTTTGTTTGTAAATATTTACATTGATTTTCAATATCTCAGCTTTCAACCCTGTGCATTTTTTAATACAGAAAAGATAGAGCTGATTCACAGACCATGTCACCTTTCCAAAGTTCTCCGGGAAACATTTTGCACATGATCCATTTTTGGTGGGTGGCATAATTATTCCATCTCTCTGTGGGTTGTTACAATGAGAACTGTAATCAACAGCACGCCCTATGAAATCCATTTGATTGGCTATGTAGGAAGTGTCCTGAAGCTTAGGAAAGAAATGGCCGAGGAAGATAAGCTTGTGATACTCCCTCTTTGCCACTGCAGCTTAACTCACTCTGTCTCTGGAAGAATTCCCCTGATAACAACACCCTGGTTCCTTCTGATAAGGAGAGCTCTGCTTATTAGAAAAGCTGCACTCCTTCAACCATTCTCCAAAACCTCTAAAGTTTATGTTTCCTGGAGCAACATTTTTATATTTTCTGCTATAACTAACTTCAGTTCTGATTTCTGAAAATATCTTTAAAATAAAGAAGCTCTTTTAAAATATGGAAAGTAAACATTGGTACATGTCTACATTGATATATGAATTCAATGAATAAGAATCAAGGACTTTATTTCAGATGTTTTATAGACATTTCTCCAACTTAAAGCATAGAATGGTAGGACATGTGTCTTTCCATTTTGCCTGCCACATGAAATTGTCATATTCCTAATGAACTTTCTAGAGCAGAAAACATTTTTGTGTTAATTTTACATGAAATATAATGACCAAGTTTACCTTTGCACAAAAACCAATTATCATATAGTTAAACAGCAAAATGATGGAATTTAAACACCACACACATAACGGAGCTGCAACTCATTAATTTGTAAATGATGCAAAGCTTACAATGCAGTTACATTTCTTTGCACATCATTAGTGAAGGATTTGTTTTCATTGCTTAGGGGTTTTTCAGACAGTTATCATAAAATAGCAAATTATAATATTTTCAGCAAAGAACACTGTTCTATAAAGCATAAGAGATTGCTTGTGCTTTTGAAGACTTAGGGGTCCAACCCCGGGGTTTCCAATAGGGAAAATCCCCCAATCCAGGCCAGTTTTCTTTGTGGAACAGCCAGTTATTAATTTCTCTACTCTTTTTCATTTCTTTTTATGAATTTGGACAATGTTGACCTCCCTTTTAAAAAAGAATGATCCCAAAACTAAAATTGTTGACTATCTATTTGTTCTTCCCATGTTATTTATTGATTAATATAAGTGACCTAATACTGGCTTGAAACACAGCTGCGGAGCACAAGAGTTCAAGGGCAATAGTTCCCCCTTCATTGTGAATTTCTGGATTAAGACTTCCTTGACTAATTCGCTTAGTTCTTATCTGGTATGCCAACTGTACACTTTCCTAGGTCAGGAAGCCCTTCAGACAGCCACTTATATCCTAGTGGTACTGCATCTTGTCTACTGCAACACTATTTACATGGAGCTGCCATTGAGGATCACCCAGAAGTTTTACACAAGTCATGGGCATGGTTCCATATGACCATGTAGCACCTTTGTTTCATGAGCTACACTGGTTGCTGGTTTGCTTTCTGGTGTGATTCAAGATGCTGATTACCTGTAAAGTTCTACATGGCATAGACTTTGGTTACTTGAGGGACCCCCTGCCTCTGTATCTGCTGCAGCCAATTGGATCTGGCAGGGTTGGCATGCACTGTGTTCCTTTGATTACAGTATTGGGATTCCTGAAGGGTGCCTTCTCTGTAGGCAGCACCTGCCCTTTGAGACAAGGTTCTCTCAGAGACCTGGATCGACCTCCACTCTTCTGTTGTTGTTTAGAAGAACATCAACACCTGGCTTTTTACCCCGGCCTATGGCAAGAAAGAGTAAGACCCTTCACTTTGTTTTGCTTTTCTTGTTTTATCTTTATGTTTTATTGATTTGATTGTAATTTCTTTGTCTTTTGTGAGCTATTTAGGAATCAGCTAACATACAAGTTTAATAAAATCATGGTTTGTTGCAGAGTCAGGTGTGGTATTACCATTCTTTATCATTAGTTAGGCTTGCAATGGCTGCTGAGAGGGCAGATCTCTGACATTTGCAAAACCAGACCCTTTCTGTGATATAGGAGGATAATAAACTTTCCCCACTGGGGATTCTATAAATATGTTGGGACTATAAGTCCCTGAGCAAACAGCTAACATTTACACAGTGATATGTTTGCTTGGGAATTCTGGCAATTGTAATTCCTCTTACCAGTAGAGAGCCATGCTGGAAAGGACTGATATACTGCATGATTTATATCTCATATAACCCATGAGAAAAATGGCAGTATTAAGTCCAGGTTGATGAAATAAATTAAGTAAAACATTTTATCATTTGTAAAAGTGCTTAAGGAGATAATGATAATCCTTGATAAATCTGGGGTTTGCCATGCTTAGGGCAGTTTCATTTAAATTTAACTTAAATTACATATTTGCAATATGTTACAATAATGAAATTTTGATCCAATGCTAGTTAGATAATTGTAATTTCATGCAAATTCATTTATTTCTGGCATGACTTCTCTAGCATAAAAATGGATTTTTGATGAAACATCCTTAAATTCAGACATGATATCATCCATATAGAATATAGATCATGAGGACAGGTGTCTTCTGAGCATAACTGACAACTCATCAATAATTTATTGAAGTATATTTGTGGAATTAAAAAAAACTGGAAATTTGGAATTCTGTACTAGAATTAGTGGAATGTGAACTACCAACTTGCTTCATTTAAATTTTAAATGAATAAATCCAACACAATTTTCAGTGATATAGTTCTTATTAAATAATAAAAGCCATGACAGTGCATTATTATGAAATGATCATCACACCAGTTATGGACTAGGACTACTCAGCCTATACAATCAAGACCAAAATTGTTTGAAACAAATTGAAGTCCTTGATACTTCCATATGCTAGATAGCTCTCGACGTTCATTAGCAATATGAAAACTGTGCAATTTGTCCATTTTATCTCCCTTAATTCTTCTTAGAGCAAGCAAGATGATAAATAATAAATAGATATTGGGAAATAAATAATGGGAAAATACAAAAAGATCATAAATGGAAACCATTGTTCCCCCCATATACTGTAGATATCTAGAATATAGTAGTGCAATTTCACATTAAAAGAATCATCTAAAGCAGAGCTTGGCAAAAAGCCCAAGTTGAACCCTGTGAAGGAAATATGGATGTATTTGTGACACAGGCACCAAACTCACTCATCAAATTGCTGAATAATTAAGTGCCCATATAATAATAATAATAATAATAATAATAATAGTAGTAGTAGTAGTAGTAGTAGTAGTAGTAGTAGTAGTAATCCCTTCAGTAAATGGATTGGTAACTTCCAATTTCTAAATGGATAGGGATTTCAATGCCACAAAAATAAACTATTTTCCAATCCTAAATATTCTGACCATAAAATATTTTACTAACAAAACCATACTTTATAGAATATAGCTTTCTAATTCAAATTATTTTTTGATGAAAAGAGATGAAAGCTCTAGATTCTCTGTCCTGGTATTCAGTGAATATGTGACTAACTCCATTTTTATATGAAAGAATAAGCTTTACTACCACACTGAACAAAATTTGCATAACATCAGGATTATTTATTCTCTTTGTAAATGATTATATGGCTGAGTGACTGAGTGCCATAGCAACAGAACCTGTGATGCATGGAAACACATTTCAATTATGCATATTGGAGCATTAACAAGTATAGTACAATTACATAGCAAAACAACTTATATATCTGCAAGAATTATTGGCTTAATATCAATGATAGGGATTATTGACATTCACACATGGAAATGAGTGAAAAAGTGTGATATCTTCACCAAAAGAAGCCTTTAGTTGTGACTATAGATACTTTCAGTTCACAGAAATACAATATTAGATGGGTGGTTTTATTCTTACAACATCTTATTGCCAATTGCAGCATTTCATTTGGACTTCTGATTTTCCTGGTCATGGAACCATAGCAATGGAACTTCAGAAGAATGCTGCTTTCTGCTGGCTTGGAAAACTAACTGTTTTGAACGTTGCAAAACACATGCTGCTAAAATTAAGACAATGATTGCCAAAATAATCAGACCAAAGTCCCTCAAAAAAAAATCACGGCAACTGATAGGCAGGGGTTTCCTACATCCCTCCAGTTCATTCCCTTTCAGCTGGCTCAAGGCTTTCATATTTAGAGAAGCTGGAGTTGCACAGATAGCCTTTGCGAGAGAACTTTTATTGAAGTCTGCCAGCCACTCCTTAAGATATAAAATAGAGCAGTTACAGTGCCAAGGGTTGTTGGAAAAATTAATTTCCTCCAAGTTGGTCAAGCTATCCAGAGCACCAAGAGGAACAGTAGTCAAATTGTTGTTTTGCAGATGAAGAATTTTGATGCTCGAGTTCAGGTGGGGCATCTCCTTGAGTTCCATCAAATTGCAGTTTGCTGCCCAACCCCAGGAATGAAGAGCCTTGCAAGGACAGAGAGTGCAGATCCAAGCTTGGGTTGTGTTTAAGAACAACAACATGATTAGCCCTTTGATCATTGAGATTATTGTAGCTGTGTTGCTTGTAGCTGTGGAACAATAAAAAAAATATACAACATAATACATGTCTCTCCTGTTTAACTAGAAGATTGGAGTTATATCCAAAAACATCAGGAGGTGATAGTGGTGCTGCCCAAACTGTGTGGTTAAATTTGGGCCCAGAAGGTAATCCTTGTTAAAGCCATTTTATATTCTTAGTTAGACTTCCTAAGTCTTCTACATGAAAAGAAGTCCGATCACCAAAATGTCATGATCAGACAGTGACTGGAGAACAAATATGGATTCTCCATTGGTTATATCTCTTAGATGATCCCTTTTCCCTTCTTCCATCTTAGTTTAGATTTCTCTTTTCACCTCAATTAGCCTGCTTAACAGCCATAAGTATTCATATTTTTGGATGCTGATGCTTTTTTATTTCAACAATAATATTTGGCCTTTGAATACATTAACCCCATATTCCAATTCCAGCCTTTCTCAGTTGAGGTTGTATGAGAGATTGTGACTGAGAAAGAAAACTTTGCATGCCACCTAATGCTAGCATTCACAGGGGTAGGAATGTTTATGCATTGCAATTCATGTTTGCTGTTTTTGTAAACATTGTAAAATGTGGACTGTGTAGGTTAGAAATGAGTT